TTTCCCCCCCCCCCCAGCCAAACCTGAGGAAGCGACTGCTGGCGTCCCGACAGGTGGCAGGCCAGGATCCAGAGCAGCTGACACTGGTGGCAGATCCAGAGTGGAGTCCCCCTTCTGCCACCACTTCCACTTCTGCTGCCGCTGCCTGTTGTGGGTTCCCCCCCCAGTGGGCCCAAAAAGATTTGTGGTCACTGATCTATACCATGTTAGGTAGATGCATTGTTGTTTCGCTATGTTACTTTATTTAACAAAAAGGAACGTTGTAGTGGTCCACTGAATGATGGTTGCGGGAAAAGATGAGAAAGGGGGCTGGAAAGGGAATTCTAATAATCAAAAGAAGGACAAACTGGAAAGATTCAAAGACCTGTCTCAGACTCTTCTCATGGGAGAAGAAATATCAATCAGTGTGAATGGAAGGATTGCTCAAGTGCAATATAAGATAGATTACATTGAAGATAAGAACCTTTAAAACACAAACCATACAGCTCCCACTTCCCCCATCTGGACATGTCCTAAGTAAGCCAATTGTCCTGAGTAAGCCAAATTAATAGTATTACCTGGTCGTTGGAGGGAGATCTTCTCCTTAGATTGCCAACCTTGTCCTCACGGTGCATTCCTGTTTGGGTGGTGTTAACATAATTTTGTTAGGTTGGGGACGATGCTCTGTTAGGCTATTCAGGGAATCTTCCATAGTTACTTTAACTACAAGCAGCCAGTGATGGGAAGAGAAAGCGAGGGAAGTACACAGTATGGTAACATACTGTATAAAGGCCCATGGAGATCTTGCAAAGAAAAGGAAGGAACTTGACATGAGGCTTCTGACACCTTAATATATATTTATGGCCGTGGAGATTGCTTGTGAGGCCAATTGTCCTAAAGAGGCCATGCTTTTCATATCACAGAATCCGGATCCAGATCTCCATGACATCTCTAGAATGGAAGGGAATGAAACTCTAGAGAACGTGTTTATACGTTCAATGACAATAAATTATGAATATAACAACCCTCAGTCACTTTAAACAATTCTAAGTTACACAGAGCTGCATGTGCCTTGGTGTAATACATCATCTTCCTGTGTTCAACTGTATTTGTATATTGGCCCTTTGGAGTGTGGGCAATGTATCAGAGCACTGTTTATAAACTATTTATTGTTGTTTAGTTGTTAAGTCCTGTCCGACTATTCGTGACCCCATGGACCACATCACGCCAGGCCTTCCTATCTTTCACTGCCTCCCGGAGTTTGGTCAAATTCATGTTGGTAGCTTCAGTGACACTGTCCAGCCATCTTGTCCTTTGTCGTCCCCTTCTCCTCCTGCCTTCACACTTTCCTAACACCAAGGTCTTTT